GTAGCCTTCAAGAAAAAAAAGTCAGAGGCTGATACTAACTAAAGAATCTGTGAGGCCGGGCGCGGCGGCTCACACCTGTAATCCCAGCACTTTGGGAGGCTGAGGTGGGTGGATCACCAGGTCAGGAGTTCAAGACCAGCCTGGCCAACATGATGAAACCCCATCTCTACTAAAAATACAAAAAATACGTTGGGCGTGGTGGCAGGCACCTGTAATCCCAAGTACTTGGGATGCTGAGGCAGGAGAATTGCTTGAACCCAGGAGGCAGAGGTTCATGATCCCATGAGCCAAGATCATGCCATTGCACTCCAGCCTGGGTGATAGAGCAAGGCTCTGTCAAAAAAAAAAGAATCTATAACACTCAAACATGGGGGGATGGGGGGTGAGAACAGGGCACCGAAGGGACTGACATCTAAAGTAATCTGTCTGTGACAAAATGGCTTCCAACTAATTAAACATAGAAAAACCTCTTTTAGGGAAGATAATCCTATTGGATCTACTTGCAAGATTTTTCCAGCCAGCTTCTGCCTCTTGGAGCTTCAATTAAAAGCTGTTTAGCAGATGGCAAATTCTGAGTCACAAAGTTAGACTCTTTGGCAACCATATGTGCTTTTGCTTTCCCAGGGGATCCTGGCCACATATGGCCCTGGAAGAGGTGCGAGAGCTCTTTCTTGGCACACAGTAGACAGCTCCTCTCCCAGCTTAACACACAGACGACAGGCGTTTCAGCATAACCATCCACGCTGTGAGCAGGAGGGGCTTTTCAGCTAATTCAGAAACATGGGGGCCCTGGAAATCATAATGTATCAGGGCTGGAAGGGAACTGGAACGGCATCTAGTAAAACCCCTTCTTCTTGCAGAATGGGAACACTGAGCCTTGGAAGAGGTTATGCAATTTGTCTAAAGATGACCAGCAAGAGAGAAGCAGAGTCAGGATCGGGCTTGTGTTTACCATAAAAGCACTTCTCTACTCACTTGGAGGACTGTGTTCGTTGCCTGACCCTTTCCTTCTAATCCCGAGGTGCCTGAAGAGATATTTTACCAATGTCCTGACAAATTTGCCAAGAGAAGGCCTTGAAAGGGTCATTCGTCCACATGTCCACCTCCTGCTTTATTGCAGGACGAAACCAGGACCTTCTGAAATGGAACTTCATCACTCCTTAGAGCTTCCTACTACAGTTGAAGTCACAGTTTCCCTTGGGTGCTATCAAAGAGAAACAGAACCAGACACTAAATTAAAGGTCAGGGAGACAGGCGTTATTTAGTAAAATTACAGTAGAGGAGGGAACTGCTAACTTGAGCTCAATTGTATCAAAACAAAAGGTGGGAGGCTTTTTTATTTACTTTTTTTTTTTTGAGATGGAGTCTCACTCTGTCACCCAGGCTGGAACGCAGTGGCACAATCTTGGCTCACTGCAACCTCCACCTTCTGGGTTTAAGCAATTCTCTGCCTCAGCCTCCCAAGTAGCTGGGATTACAGGCACCTGCCACCATATCTGGATAATTTTTATTTATTTTTAGTAGACATGGGGGTTTCACCATCTTGGTCAGGCTGGTCTTGAACTCCTGACCTCGTGATCCACCCACCTTGGCTTCCCAAAGTGCTGGGATTACCGGCGTGAGCTGCTGTGCCCGGCTGGGAGGCTTTTTAAATGCTGGAGTGTACTAAAGGAAAAGTGCTGAAGGATGTTAAGGGGATGTTGATGTGACTGGGCACCTGTGTTTGCTAACTGATGCTGATTGAGGGGAGATTTCTGGTCTCCCACAAAGACTGGGAAACAAGAAGACAAGAGACTTGTCTTTCTCTTATTTTTATTTTTAATTTCATTGGAGAAAGGGTGTTTCTCTGTTGCCTGGGCTAGAGTGCAGTGAACTCGCTGTAACCCTGAACTCCTGGGCTCAAATGATCATCCTGCCTCAGCCTCTTGAGTGGCTACGACTACAGGCACAGGTCACCATGGCTGGCTAATTTTCTAATTCTTTTCTAGGGACAGGGTCTATGTTGCCCAGGCTGATCTTGAACATCTGGCTTCAAGGGATCCTCCATTCTTGGCCTCTCAGAGCACTGGGATTACAGGTGTGAGCCACTGCGCCTGGCCCCCTATCTTTCTGATGGTTACATTTCAAAGTGATGGCTTCCAGGTCTTTAAAAAAGACATGGGTTGTAAGAGATACACCACAAAAGGATAGAAGTAGGATTTACAACCGCAAGTTTTTGAAAGCAAATGTTTTAAGAAAAGAAAGGTCCGGGGCCTATAGTCAGGTGTTGGAACAGCATCGAGCTTTCTCAGGCAGGAACTTAAGAGAGCTGGAGTTCTCATCCTAGGATGTGGCCTGGAGCTATTGGAAAGTATGTGAGGGTTCGTTAGTGCTGAGAGTCTGCAGCCCTCCTAGGTCAAGGTTGGGGCCTGAAAGGAGGGCTCTGCAGAGCCAGACTCAAGTTCGGTCAAGGACAGAGTCATTGTCAGTGCTGATGACACTTCCACTGCTCTGTTAGGAAGTGATTACAATATGTTTCCAATTTTCTCACTATAGTTTAAGCCTTTTTCTGTCCATTCCTTACTGTGGCTGGAATCTGGTTCACATTCTGTTTGTTATGGCTCTTTGTCTATTCACAATCGACCTGTCTCAAACTGGATTTTAAGTTGTTTGAAGGCAGGATCCACCCATGTATTACATCTTTTGAAAATCTTCCATTGTACCAAGTAGCTGACTTGATCATCATTAATTGACATAAACCTCAGATTATATACCATTTTCTTTTTTTCTTTTTTTTTTTTTTTTTTTAAGACGGGGTCTTGCTCTGTCACCCAGGCTGGAGTGCAGTGGCGCAATCTCGGCTCACTGCAACCTCCACCTCCCGGGTTCAAGCAATTCTCCTGCCTCAGCCTCCGAGTAGCTGGGATTATAGGGGCCTGCCACCATGCCCAGCTAATTGTTTTTTTAAAATATGTTTAGTAGAGACAGGATTTCACCATGTTGGGCAGGCTGGTCTCAAATTCCTGACCTCAGGTGATCCACCTGCCTCAGCCTCCCAAAGTTCTGGGATTACAGGCATGAGCCACCATACCCCGCCTCCGTTTTCAATCATTCTAACCAACATTCTAGGGTGAGCCCGTAGCCTATTTCTATAACAATCTCTATGATTGCTTCCCCTGAATCCTCTTTAATATGAGGGACAAAATAAGGCTCAGCCACCCACCTTGTATATCTAATGAGTACACTGTCTTCACCAAGATCCCCAAGAATTCAATTCATCAAAATTTTACTGAACAGCAGCCATAGGTCCCAGGTGCTGGGGAGAAAGAGATCAATAGGCCAAGGTTCCTGCTCTCAAATAGACTAGCTGGGGAGACTGATAAGTAAATCAGAGATTCCAGTACGTAGTAAGAAGCTCTGTGACAGAGGTGTGTGCACATAAAAGGGGCTCTGATTTAGTTTGGATGACAAATGGTTAGTCTCCCAGAAAAGACAATATCAGGCTGGGTTGGGTTCCCTGGAAGCAGAGTCTGAGAGGGGAACTCTTGTATAAGTGATTTATCAAGGGAAAACTCTCAGAAGAAACCTGTAAATAAATGAGGGAATCGAGGAAGTGAAAGGGGTGAAACTAGGAAAAGATGTGGCTTCTGTTAAAGTCTAGCTGCAATCAGACCCAAGGGGAGATGTGGAGTGAGGACTGCACCAAAGGGCTATCCCACCTTGAGTCAAAAAGCCCAGACCTGACTATTCCTCATTAGTCAGTCATTGGCTCCAGGCTGATCCTGGGGGAGAGCACCTAATCTCCTACCTAATTCTGGGAGAGGTGGCTCCTGTTGACAGAGGGTGAGTCTCTGGAGAAGGATGTCACCTGCAGCTGTTAGAAACCATCACTTACAGACAGCTGGAAGGATAGGAGTGCCTGCCCAGCCAGCAGAGATCTGAGCAGCGCGCCACCAGCCTCTGATACAACACCCGAACTAACTCTTGAAAGGTCAAGGCAGTCAAAGTTAATTATATGGGATATCTGGGAGCGGGCATGGTAAGGCATTCTAGGACAAAGTTACAGAGGGAAGGGAGAACGTGAGCATTTGGAAAGAGCAAGAGGCTAGAGGTAGATGGGGTTGATTGAATACTGGATTTTTTGAAGGCTGTGTGTGTATGGCAGCAGTGATCCCCATGCCCCATCTTAAGTAATTGATGTCTACCCTTTTCCCACCTTGCAGGAGATGAAACTATAGTCACTAGAGAAACTGAACTGAGGATGGATGAGAGCTCCAACCAGGACACACAAGAGGATGACCAGCTGAGGTTAAGTGACACTGAGTGGCGCCAATCCACAAGGTTGTATTCATTTCTCCTCTAGTAGTAGGAGATATTGATCAAATCTCAGGACCATTTCTTTAAAGGGGAACTTGATTTGTTCACCTGCCATCAGATGCCCCAGGAAGCCCCAATACAGTCACCTGCTGCTGTGTGATTATTTCCACAGCCTGAGACTCTCACCAGAGGCCATTAGCTAGTTCTGGCCCCGAATTCTTCTTCTTCTAGCCAGACTGGTTGCACAGGATCTTGAGCTCTCCCTGGCGTCCACAAATTGATAAATTGGTATTTTGTTCTGTTTTTCTCTTTTCTTAAGAAGCTGCTTTCTTGTGAAAAGATGGATGTTGTTGTAGCCTCTCCATCCCCCAACCTCAGTCTTCCACATGTTCTCAAAAATAATAGCTAAGTGTGTTGCAACAACACTTATCAACTCTTTAAGTCTCCCACTTTGCTGGTTTGAATCTACACAACTTCCAACAATTTTTCCTCTATGGAGTATAATTTGACACATACTTTTCCACCCATGGGAGGTGATACTTGTCTCGGTCTGTGACTACGGTAATTCTTTTATAAATATAAATTAATCAAGTTGCATGAACTAAGAACCTACTTTGAAACTAACACTTAAAGGTGTCAAAAGATTATAAAAGGTTTTTGTTGCAATAGTGTGTTAGTGTAGACTCCAGTGTGTTTGGATGTGACCAAACTAATATTGATACATGGTTGAAAGGCATAAAATAAGTTGACAAATACAAAATTACAAATCAGCTTCTGAACTCCACAGATGTCATGATGAGCAGTGTATTCTTCAACCAAAATAGTTTTTCATATCCTCAGGAAATTTTTGGCTTTCATTTTTACCTTTTTGGTATTCTCATGTACCTTTTAGGCCATTGTATGCATTCATTCATTCATGCTTTCATTCCATGATTATATTTTGAAGCTCCTCTTGTGTGGCAGACATGGACAGGTGCTGGACATACAACAGAGGACAAGGCATTCAGGGTCCCAGCTCCCATGGATCTCACAATTCAGAAGGAGAAACAGACATTGAGCATATCGCTTTAATAACATTTACAGTTGGGGCAGTTTTAAGAAGTAAAAATACAGTAGTGCTCTGATGATCTATTACTGCGTAACAAACCATCCCCAGACTGAGTCTTACAATGATGACAATAGATTGCATAGTATTGAGCAGTCAACAGGGATAGCTCATTCCTGCTCTACTTGGCTTTAGCTAGCATGGCTCAAAAACAGGGTACTGGCATCATTAGAAGGAAAACACACTCACCTGTCTGGCAGTTAATGATGGCTGGCAGCTGGGACCTCAGCTGGAGCTGTCAGATGGAATACATACACATGGCCTCTCCATGTGGCCTGGACTTTCCCACAATATGGTGGCTGAGTTCCCAGGGTGTGTATCCTGAGGATTGTGGTAGAAGCCATATTCCTTTTTGACTTAGACTCAAAGTCACACACCATTGCTTCTGCCCCATTCTGGGCAATATTACAAACACAAAGTCTTGCTTCATTTCAAAGGAAGGGGAAATAGATGCCACATCTTGATAAGGGAATGGCAAAATTTTGGAATAGCATATAGGATCAAAAGTATGGCTGTGGTGATTTTTTGAAAATACAGTTTCTCTCAAGTGTCTATGAGAAAGCTAAGAACCTATCAGAAGGAATCAAGAAGCGGGTTTTAAGCTGGGACCTGGAAAGTGAATAAGAGTAACACAGATGAAAAGGGAAGGAGTTGGGGAGAGAGAGAAATATTCTAGACAGTGGATCCTGCTTCGGGATGAGCTTGGCTACAGGAAGAACTAAAAGGAAGCCAGTGCAGCTGTAACATTCTTAATAAAACGATTGAGCAAAGGTTCGTAATGAAGTTGCAGCAACTTGAAAGTGCTTAGGAGGGACCTTCCAGGTACCATCAGGTAATGTCATGCTTAACCAACCTGTACGTAGTCTCTTGGTTACCTCTGCCTGCATAACCATCTCAAACTTACCGACATGAAGAGCAACATCATTTATTACTATTTTCTCCCACTGTTCTGGAGGTCAACTGGGCTCAGCCAGATAGCTTTCACTTGGGGCCTCTCACATTGCGGTCGTCAGGTGGTGGCTAGGGCTGGAGTGAACTCAAAGCCTTCCTCACTCACATGTTTGGTACCTGGACTGGGAACACTCAAACGAGCGGAGCTGGACCAGCTGTGGCTGCTAAGGTGTCTCTTACTCCCACTTTCTCACTCTTTGGTCTTTCCATGTGGTCCCTCCAGCACAGCAGCTCAAACTGAGTAGTCAGACTTCTTAGAGGGTGGCCGAGGACTCCCAGTACAAGTATCCCAGGAAAAACCAGGAGAAGCTGCATGGCCCTTTCTAACCTACACTTAGGAACCAGGCGCTGTCACTGCTGTCACATGCTATTCACACAGGTGGTCACAAAAGCCTGCCCATTGTCAAGGGGAAGGGACACAGAGTTTTGTTTTGTTTTGTTTTTGAGGTGGAGTTTCACTGTGTTTGCCCATACTGGAGTGCAATAGCATGACCTCGGCTCACTGCAACCTCTGCCTCCCGGGTTCAAGTGATTCTCCTGCCTCAGCTTCCCGAGTAGCTGGGATTACAGATGCTCACAGCCACGCCTGGCTGATTTTGTATTCTAATAGAGATAGAGTGTCACCATGTTAGCCAGGCTGGTCTTGAACTCCTGGCCTCAGGTGATCCACCTGCCTCTGCCTTCCAAAGTGTTGGGATTACAGGCATGAGCCACTGGACCCAGCTGGGACATAGAGTTTTTGATGATAGGAGTGTCAAAGAATTTGCAGACATGTTTTAAAGCTACCACACTTAGGGTGACCATGTAACTCACTTTCCAAAACAAGATACTTTTGAGAGTCAAGGGGGACGCTTAGCAGGCATAAGCTAGGACTGCCCTTGGTAAACCGAGAGATGTGGTCACCCCACTGCCATGCCCACACAACTGAGAGCTCAAGCTCTCTTAAATTCTTTTGTCTTTCTGACATTGATCGTGTCATTTTAAAACATATCCTTTACTCATTGAAATTGGTTTTAAATTTTATTTTCTGTTTCTTGATAATTTCTTGCTTTTAGATTATGAATGTTATGTTGAGGTCGCCTTTTTGTAATGAATCTGGAACTTGAGAGCTACAAATCTTGCCCGACAATATCTTTCATGCAAGCTGGGAGAGCTGCTGGCGCTGTGGACGTAAGTGCTTAGGATGCCTTCTCTCTTAGGTGATAGAATTCCAAGCAGTGGAAGAATTTGCTTCAAGAAATGCTTTTTAAAACCTCACTTTTTAGCTAAGTGGTAAAACACACACACACGCACGCACACACACACACACACACACACACACAGTGATGACTCATCAGTTGAAATCAAATCCTTCATCCCAAAAAAGTGTTTTTATAAGAAGTGGGTGTTTTTTTTCTTTTCCCAAAGGCAGACTGCATAATATTTGGTGCTTCTCTTTTCTGAGTAATTTATTTCATTTTAGTGGAAATTGACAGTCTCAGACTGGAGCCAATAACATTTTATTTTCAGTGCTGTGCATGGGACCCCCATTATTCTAGGATCTGCTTTCGCCTACAACCCTCAGGAGAGTTCAGCCATCAGACCGTTTCACACTAACACAATCCCCCTCTCCATCCCTTCCCTCTGACCAGCTATTAACCTGTTCTTCTGAAGACCCTGAAGCAGAATACCTAGAGAGAGCATTTGGAGACAGCATCCAGGTGTAAGAAAGCATGGCAAGTGTTATTTCTCAGGGGCGCCACCACAGAGTCCGTCCCTATCTCCTGACCCAGGTACTGCACGCAGAAGTCTATTCTTTTCACAGCTCTTCTTCACAAAACATTTTCTTTCTGTTGTTTCTTTCCTAAGACTCTACAACTCTGAAAGAAAACAACGTAATTCATTTCTGATCCATGAAAGCAAACATCCCATTCCATTCCATTTGTCTTCTTGGAAGTTTCCACAAATATATCCTTGCTAGAAAACAAAAATACAAAACTTGTACTCGTTTCTGTTCCAGACTGAAATACATGGGAAACTTTTATGGGTCCCAGACTATAGCCTGGCCTTCAGGAATAAGGAAGATATTTAAGAGAGATACCACAAGAGAGCTAAGACTAGGAAAATAGTTTAAAAAACTCAGATTGTAAACAGCAGCATCCAACAGCGGCTCAGATCAAGAGTGAGACTGGACTCAGGGTGACCAACTACTATGGACTGAACTAAACTATGTATCTTGAAGCCCTAACCCCTGGTGTAATGGTATTATGAGACAGGGCCTTTGGAAGATGATGAGGTTTAGGTGAGGTCATAAGGGTGAGGCCCTTATGAGGGGATTAGTGCCCTTATAAGAAGAGACACCAAATGCCAGATATCTCTCTCTCTCTCTCTCTCTCTGTCTCTCTCTCTCTCTCTGTCTGTCTCTCTCTCTCTCACTCTCCCTCTCTCCCCCCACATATCCCACTGTCTAGCACGTGAGGACACAACAAGAAGGCATCTGTTTACAAGCCAGGAGGAGGGACCTCACAAGAACCCAGTTATGATGGCACCTTGATCTTGGGCCTCCAGCCTCCAGAAGAGTGAGAAAATAAATTTCTGTTGTTTATGCCACCCAGTTTATGCTATTCTGTTATGGCAACCTGAGCTGACTGAGACATCAACTGTCCCAGTTTTCCTCGAACTGAGTGAGGATCCTGGAATGTGAAGCTTCCAGTTTTCTAATCTAGAAAGTTCTGGGGACACTGGGGCAAGTTGGACTGTAATTCTCTGCCTCTGGTCTGTGCTGGAACAGGAAGAGGAGGCACAGATGCCTCAGCCAGGCCTGGAGGTGAAAGCACAAAGCCAGAGGCACTGCCAGGCGTTTAGACTTCTAGGTTCAGAGGTGCTAAGGAGTGCATGGGATAAAGGACTCACAGTGATTAAGGTGGACAATGTTAACAGTGCAAAAATTTAAGGCAAAACCCCAGTCTACAATGAAGTAATCATTTAACTTCATAAAACAAACAAATTCCACCTGAACTTCTAAAGTCTCTTTCAGATCCTTCCCAGTGAGAATCCTTGGAAATTAGGCGTGGTCTGGACTTTTAGTTAAATCCCTGGGCTTCATTCCTGTTCCTCTCACAGGCTCTAGGACCTCTCTCTCCATCCATCTCAGTGATAGGGCATTAACTGTGCAAGCTTCCTTTTTGTCCTCACTGACCCTCCATACGCCCACACTGCTTCAGACCAAGGGGACAAGCTCCCTGTGCTGCCTTGCACTGAATCACTTGACGGGTGGGGAAGGGGGTGGGGGATGGGCAGTTAATAGCATCATGGAGTCTCCTCTCCAGGTACGTCTTCAAGAAAAAAAAAATCCAAAAGTTGGGGAAAAGACAAAAAGATGCATGACCTTCACTGTCAAGCCTGTGTCTGGGTCTTTCAACTTCCTAGTAGAATTATTAATTCTTCTTGATTCGTAATTTTACAGCTCTCAAAGGTTAGCTGTTGGTTTGTCAAGAACCACTAAGATACAAAGAGTTTTTATCCAATAACAATGCAAATAACTTTTTGTTCTACAGAAATAAAAATGACTTCTGTTTAGTAGAGAAGATAATCCTAGTTTACAGTTTTATTGCCCTAAAGAAAAATAATCAGTTTTGTATCTAACCTCGAGATCTTATGCTACAATTGTTTTTTAACCACGTGTACATCTATTTTTTTTAAATATACTTGGTTCTACCATTAATGAGTTAAAATAAAACTTTTACTTG